GAGCAAAGCTTGAAAACCTTTAGCAATCTCAAATCAAAGCCCAAGTCTGGGGAGGAATTATGTCCTCAGAGATAGCATCTAAAAGGTAGTCAGGCACTATGGGGGCAGAATATTTCATGGATTGTCAGACTCATTCGCTTTCCCTATTGGGTTTTGCTTAAGTGTTTTGTCTTTGTACCAGATAACATTTAATTCAGTGTCTGGGGCTGCTCCCAGATGTAAGGAGGCCATCTCATAGGGCAATGATTCTCAAAGTGTGGTCCAGGGACCCCTAGGGCTCCCCAATACCCTCTCAGGGACTCCACAACATCAGAATGATTTTCATAATAAGACTAAGACATTCTGATTTCTAATGAGGTAAATATCAATGGATATAACCCACATAAACAAACTTTTTGGGGGTCCTCAATAATTTTTAAGTGGGAAGATGTCCTGAAGCCAGTAAGTTTGAGAACTACTGACTTGAAGCATGTTCAGAACTGCCCTTCCCGGTTTCCTCAGATCCATATGGGGCTTTGGGGACAGCTTCTGGCCATCGTCAACCTCCGAGAGTTTGGTCTAAGAAATACAAGTTAATTAGGTTGTGCCTGAGTCTATATTTTATTTCTCTCAAGTTGGCAGCATGCATATATATGTAACTGTAGAGTTGGAGCTGAGCTCTCTTTGGGGTTGGGTTACACAGTTTATAAGTCCTTCGAAGAGTAGGTGTTCCCAAGGGTGCCAATCATCTCTGATTAACACACTGGGAGGTGGGCTATATTAAAATGAAAGTTTTGGAGTATGTGACTTAGGTCACCTAAATCTAGGTCATATAGACATCAATGTCCATATCACCTGCCTTGACAATAGAGAAAATTAACATTTTCCCAGACTTGTCTGAGCAAACCCAATGAGCAGGTATACACCCATTAGCCCAAACTTAAGAGTTTCTTTTACTGTCTGATCAGATCTTGACCTGGTAAGTCTTTAAGAAAGATTTTCCACACTTGTTGGCTTCTGGATAAGGAAGTAGCTTAGGTTGGGTGTTGACCAGGTTAAGGAGACTCAATGCAATCTCTTTATCAGTAAAGTCCTTCTGAAGAAGAAATTGAACTTTGGAGGAAGGGGGCTGGGGGAACTCTGAATCTCATTTTCCACACCACACATGACTCACGGCCTAAGGTCCTGACCTTTGAGATGATCAGGAGTCCCTAGATTGGCTGCTCAGGGCCAAGAGCTCATGACTCAGTGCATTTACCAGATTGAACAACAAGAGCTTCCACTTTCTTCTTTCATTCTGGGTTTGAATCATGCCAGAAAATGGTGAGCTGCCCCTAGACCCCCATGGGAGGATGGGGGATGGGCTTCTGATCACAGGGAGCAAGGACCTAAACAATTAAGCTTGTGTCTGGGCCCCTTGCTGCCTTTTCTGCTAGGTGTTTCCTTGCCTGAGTAGATGACCCAGCATCAAGTAGACTTTGTGACCTTTTGCCTCCCTTACTACTAGAGGGACCCAGGGGATAAAAATGAACTGCCAGGCCTCGACAACCCTCACATTCCTCCTCATCAGTCAATCACCCATCGAAGAAGATTTAGCAGATTATAGAAAGTCTTCAGCTAGGGTTAAAAAAAGATCAACTTCTCAAGTAAAAGGTAGAGGTGTCATGGCGAGACATCAAAGAAGGATCTGGGAGTGTTAGCGGATTGTAAGCTCCAAATAGGTCAACTCTCCAGACCATATGGCAGGTTAAAAAAAAAAAATGTGATCTTAGGCTATATTAGAAAAGGGGTAGAGTCCAGAAGGAATGAAGTTGAGTCCTTTTCAGACCACAACTGAAACATCCTGATCAGTTCTCAACACTCCATTTTAAGAAGGCAATGGGGAAGCTGGAGGTAGGCCAGGGATGGGCAACCAAGATGAAGGAGAGCCTCAGGATCGTGCCATATGAGGGTCAATTGGGGAAACTAGAGGAACCTTGGCCTGTAGAGGAGGGGGTAGAGGTGTGCTGACTGTATTCCAAAGACTGTCATGTGGAAGAGAGAATGGACTTTTTTCTACTTCTCTTTTCCCTCTATAATATTTCCCTTGATGATCTTATCAGTTCATCTCAATGTTGATGATTCTCAAAACTATTTATCCAGCCTTCAACTCTCTGCTGACCCTCAGTCTCATGTCTCCACTATTATTCTTCAAATCATGTCTGACTCTTCATGACTCCATGTGGGGTTTTCTTGGTGAAGATACTGGAGTGATTTGCTATTTTCTTCTCTGGCTCATTTGACAGATGAGGAAACTGAGGCAGATAGGTTTAAGTAACTTGCCCAGGGTCAAACAGCTAGTCTGAGGCCACATTTGAACTCAGGTCCTCCTGATTCCAGGGTGGGCAATCTATGCATTGAGCCACCTAGCTGCTTCCTCATGTCTCCAACTGCCTATTATGTATCTTGAATGTGCCGTAGACATCTTCAACTCAACATTCCTTAAACTGAACTCAGTCTCTTTCCCTGAAAATCTTCTCACCTTCTGAACTTCCTCTGTTACTGCTAAGGGCACCACTATCCTCCCAGTCTCCCAGGCTTACAAGTGTAAGTGTCATCTTCTATCTGTCTCTCTCTCTCTCTCTCTCTGTCTCTCTCTGTCTCTCTCCCTGTCCTCCCCTGCCCCACTCCCCCCATCCGCCCATATCCAATCTATTGTCAAGACCTGTTGATTTCACCTTTGCAGCCCCCTTCTCTCCTCTGACATTGTCCCCACCCTGCTGCAAGCCCTCATCATCTCACATCTAGACTTTTGCTATAGCCTACAGGATGGTCTCCTGCCACAAGTTTCTCCCCAATCCAGTCCATCCTCCATTAGGCCACCAAAGTGATTTTCCTAAAGCATAGATGCGGTCATGTCATCTCCTATTCAATCAACTCCAGTGTCTTCCTATCACCTTCAGGATCAAATATAAACATGTCTGTTGGGCACTGGAAGCTCTTCACAACCTGACCCCTCCCTCCTTTCCAGTCTTCTTATACCTTACATCCCATGGAGGGCTCTGCCATCCAGTAACACTGACTCCCTTGCTGTTCTTCCCACAAAACACTCCATCTCCGGACCTCAGGTATTTTCTCTGGCAGTTCCTCATTCCTGGAGTGCTTTTCCTCCTCATCTCCACCTGCTTCTTTGGTTTCTTTTAAGTTTCCCCTAAAATCCCACCTTCTACAGGAAGCTTTACCCAAACCCTGATAATTTTCATGCCTCTGCTGATTATTTTCAATTTATCCTATTCCTTGCTAACAAGCAATGTCCACAGTTGTTTGCATGCTTTCTCCTCCATTAGATTGTGAACTCCTGGAGATCAGGGACAGCTTTTTTGTTTCTTTGTAGCCCCACGATTTAGCACAGTGCCTGACACATAGTAGACCTTTAAATGTTTATTGACTGACTGACTACTTGGCTTCTGGGGTCAGCACTAGAGAGGAGTGGCTAGTGGTCATAAAGAAGAGCACTTCTCCTTTGTCCATCCACTTCTGTGGCCTGCCTGGGAACCTTACCAGCCCTCCTGGCTTTGTCTTTCCTAGACAGTTTCCTGGCCATGTGTCAGTGATTCAGCAAGTAAGATTGTCTAGTCATACCCAGCAGGAGACCTGCTTCTGCCACTGATGCACTTGGTAGCTTGGGCAAGCCCCTTCCCATTCCTGAGCCTCATTTTCCCTGGAAAGAGGTGATGTGGTATGGTAGAAGTGGAGCTAGCTTTAGAGATCATGGGTTCAAATCCCTCCTCTGCTCTTCCCTACCTCTGAACCTTGGTTTTCTTATCTGTATAGGGCCTGGGCTTCACAACCTCTAAGGTGCTTCCCCGCTCTAGGTCTAGCAGAAAATGAGACGATTTATTATTGAACACACTTGCAAATATGAAAGCTTCTATAAATGTTAGCTCTTCTCGTCAACTCTTATTTCCAATGACTTCATGAATTTCCCAGGTCCCTTTCAACAGCCCTGAGTGAGCAGGGATCGCTGCTTCCCCCCATGTCCACGAGAGGGAGCTGTGTGCTCACTTTACATGGGCTAATGTCGCACCCAGGCACCCAGCCAGAGTGAGGGCTGTTGGATGGGGTTCAGGCAAAGAAGGGGAATCCTTTCCCTCCAGTGGCAAGGCTCCAGCTCCTCCCCGTCCTTGGCAACAAAGGTGACACAAGCAGGCCAAATTTGAAAACCCAAGGCAGTAGTTTTATTTCTGTCTTCCTTCTACCCCTCAATAAGCCCCCTTCCCTTCCTGCCCAGAGTGGAACCCGACTGGGACCTGGGCTCTTCAGGCTCCCTTCTCCTCTGTTCCTTTCTCATTGTGTGTGTCCAGTACTGCCCGGGGTCTCTGTCTTCACAGCTCAACTTGCTATCCCCCTCCCAAATCCAGGACTTGGCATTCACCAAGCTGTGAACCAGGGTCCAAAGAGGGAGAGAAGCTAGGAAGGTCTGCAGGTGAAAGCAGGTGTTTGTGTTTCCATATCTGTGCATTTAGATGGCTAGGCATAAGGAGATCTGTGTTGCAATCCCAGTCTTGACCCACTGTGTGACCTTGGGCAAGTCCTGATCCCATTCTAGGCCTCAGTTTCCCCATCTGTAAAAAGAGGGTCAGCACTGCACTGTCTCCCTCACATGGCTGTTTGTGAGAGCTTCTAATGAAAGGGTAAAAGCAATGGGTGGTATTGGCTTTATATAATGAGGTGATTATTACTACTTATGAATACTCATATAATAAGAAGAAAGAGGGAGCCCCACACCCAGTGGATTGTGCATGACTGATACTGGCCTTCCCAACCCAAACAGGAATGAGATAGAAAGTGAGAATCCCTGAAGACACACTTACCCCACCCCCAAGTCCCTATGCCCATGTTCAGCAAAGGCATATGGATGACCTCCCTATAGGCAGATCCACAATGGAGGAGGAGAACAGTGCAGCCAGGAGTCCCTGTCCAAGAGGCTTCTCCCTCCCCTCTCCCTCCCCTCTCCCTCCCCCTGCCCCCCAAGACCCATCCACTGAAGAAACCCCAAACTTTGGGTCAACATCAAGTCCTTTGATCTTTTGAGATCTGGAAACTGCCTTTGGAGAAAGGAGGAGTCTTCTGGCCAACTTTCACCTGGAGAGAGAAAATAGCGTCATTGAACATAGAATATTAGACTGGAAGAAATCTCAGAACCTAGAACATGGAATGTCAAAGCTGGGAGGCCCCTTAGAGATCACTGGGTTCCATGAAGGGAAAACCTTGTCCAGGATCCCACAGGGAGTCAGTGGGAGAACTGAGTCTAGAACCCAGGTTTCAGGATTCTCTGCCGGCTCGATGTTCTACACAGCCAGGTATGACCCCAAGGGACAGAGTTCAGCGATGTCTCCCTCCCAAACCTCCCAGGCTCCTTAGTGTTCTGGGAGAGCAGATGAGAGACTCAAGGGATGAGAAAGAGAATCCTTACCTGATGTCAGCTCCTAATGGGAGCGCGCCATTTCACAATCACCTCTCTCGGTCCCTGCCCTGGTCTTATTGACCACAACGTACTTCTGCCGGTAAGAGTCGGGGCAGCAATGCTGAAAGCAGGGGTCATAGCTGAATGTAGGACCACAGCTCAGGGGCAAGGGCTGAACACTGCCATCCTCACAGCATTGATTCTCCTGGGGGTTGTAGGCCACGATCCCACACAGGAGCCAGGGCTGGCACACAATCACTTGGGAATCCGTGGGGGTCACTGTGTAAATGATACAGACTATTAGCTCCACAGGCTCAGAAAGAAAGGCTCCCAGAAGTGCCCCAATGCCTGCTGCCCCATCTTTCCCCCCATGGCTCTTTCCCTCTCCTCCACAACCCTCCTCCCTGATTTGTCTTCCCTTCCTTACCTGGAGCACCTGAGCAGGACAGGATAACCATGAAGAAGATGGGGACAATGGCTGCTGAGGAGAAAGAGAAAGAGGTGAAATGAGCCTGGGCCTTTGGATGGTGATGCTTTGGGCCCAGCGTGGAGAGAGGACTTGGGCTGAACTTTGCATTTCTAGTCTGTCTTGGAGGGTTAGGGTTAGAGTTCATTCAGGTTAGGTTTGAGGTCAGGAGGCAGAAGGTCTAGGGCTCTGATTGGCTACATCAGAAGACTGAGAGGAGGTAGTAAGGTAGGTATAGGAGAGACAACCCTAGGCTGGGGAAATGGAGCCAAAGGCTTGGGAGGCTGACTCTCGCCTAGGAAAGTCTTTGTCTCTCTCTCTAAACCTCAGTTACCTCGGCTGTAAAATGACAAAAGGAAGGAAGGTGGCACTTGGTGGCAGTAAGGTCTTTTCATGTCTCTCCAAATGAGAAGGGTCCAACTCCTTCATTTTGCAGAAATGATGAAGCCCAGAGAAGGGATTTTCTGGTAACTGGAAGGACCAGAATTGAACCCCAAGACTTCAACTCCAGGGCATTTGCTGCTCTGCTCTCCTGTCTTCTGGGGTCTGGCAATTAGAAATGTTAGGACTGGCCTGGGCTAGATGCTGGAGGACCTGCCATGTGCTGGGTCCATGATTCTCCCAGGGCTAGCTGTAAACGACACTCTTGGCTTTGTGAGGTGGGGTTGGGTTTGGGACTAAGCAGGTTTGGGGTTGGGGCTCAGGTCAGTTTCATAGCTTACTGTTCACACATGCAGGTGCCTCTCTGTGAGCTCCAAATCTGGAATTTGGGAACCTAGGTTCATAGTCTAGTTCTTAGGACTTTTTTTTTTAAACTTTGGACAAATGACTTAATTGCCCTGGTCCTCAATTTCGTCTCCTGTCAAATGAGTAAGTTAGAATAGATGACCTCCCAGGTTTCTCCCAGCTCTAAATCCATGAGCCTATGAATGCGGAGGGGGTGGGATGGAGATGCTTGGTCCCTGGAATAAGCAGGTCTATGGGATCCCTTCCTCTTTGGTTTCTCAGAAGGATTCTGTGAGGAGCTGGGGGAGAGCTTTTGGGGACACCTGGGGTCAGAGTGAGATCAGAGTCCAAATCAGAAGTAGAGGTGGCAGAAGGTTTTGGATTAGGACCAGAGAAAGATTTAGGCTCCAAGTCAGCATTCTGAGATCAGAATCAGAGTGAGGTTTAGGCTATAGTCAGAATGGAAGATGATAAGGGCTAGAATGACATTTGGGGGATTGTCATAGGATCATGGTTAAAAGACAACATCTAGTCCAACCCTCTGCTTTTACAAGTGAGGAGTGAGTCCCGAAGAGGTCACACAGATAGCGAGCAGGTGTGATGGACAGGGTCCAGGTTTAGGTTGAATTGGGAAGGCAACAAGGTGCTTTTTGGAGTGGGGTTGGAATTGAGATGAGTGTTAGATGTTGTAGGTCAGGGCTGAGGTTAGGGGGCTGATAAAATTGGGATGCCAGCTGGGAAGTAGCAAGGGTAGAATTAATGCTGGTGAGGGCTGGGGAGCTGATGGGGCCATAATGGAGCTGGAGCCCAGGAGGTGGAGGATCCCCTGAGCCCTCTTACCAGTGATATAGTTTCTTGATGCCATGAGTCTTGTCTGAGTTGGGTCCGGAGGACTTGGTGCCAGCAACACAACTGCCAACTGCCTGAGAGTGTGATAGCAGAGGTGCTCTTATCCCTGGGATCCTGGGCTTTTATTAGTGTTGGAGGAAGGTGACGTAAGAGTACTCACTAGTAGAGACTAGTCAGGCCCTGGAGCTAGGCATAGAGTAGTGGAGGTGGGGAGAAGCTAGAAAGAGAGGGAAAGTAGAGAGCAGAGGAGGGGAAGGAAGGGAGGGGAAGCGAAGGGAAGGGAGAAGAAGTGGGGAGGGGAGGAGGAGAGGAAACCTATTCTATGCTAATGTTTCCCTTACCCACCCACAACCATGAGCTAGCTAGCAGCCTCAAGAAAGGGAGAAGAGCCATGACCCTCTCCCTACCCCTCAGCAAGACCTACTACATATGCCCCTTCAATTTCTTTCTTCCATTCTTTTTGACCAGCCTAATCCTCCATGGCCCCTTAAGCCAAAATCTTTCCAAATTCTGTGATTCCAAGCTGAACCCTGCTCTGGGGGATAGGAAGACCACAAGCACGGAATTCAGGGATGACAAGGTCAGTCACTCGAAAGAGAAGAATATGGGGTCCTGGATCAGAAGGGGAAACTGAGGATAGATGCTGGTTGGGGAGATAGTACCTTAGGGCAATGGGTCCTAGCCCAGAAGTGGAATCAGAGCTAGCTGGCAAGACCCATGAGAGAAGCCAATGGGACCAGGGAGCTGCGAGGCCAGCCTGGGGAAGAGGCCCACTTGGTTGGCAGCTTCATGTTTGAACCACTTCCTTTCTTGGTGATTCATTTAAACTCGATGTAAAATTGGGAAATGGGGCTAAGTAGACTGTAATTCAACATTGATCAAATGCCTACTATGTGCAAGACATTGTCCTAGTGACCAGGGATGCAAAGGTAAACATGAACCCCATGGCGGTCAGCAGGGAGGCCCTGTCCTGCTGGGGATGGAGCGGGATGGACTGACCGTGTGCACAGACCAGCGCCACGTAGGGCTGAGCATGGAGGAGCCAAGGGAAAGGAAGACCTTCCCAAGACATTCTGGGAAAACCCAAAAGGGGAAGAGAATGCTTTCAGTTGGGGGAATCCGGGAAGACTTCACGGAGGAGAAATGGTCTAGATGGAGCCAGAAGACAAGGAGGAGGGCACTCATGCCTGACCAGACCTGGGGAATGCCCTCAATGGGGGCCGGTCATCCCATGTGGCTGGAACTCAGAGAGCATGAGGGGCAGCAATTGGAAATAAGTCTGGGAACGCAGACTGAGTCAGCATGGAAGGGCCCAAAATGGCGGAAGAAAGAATTTGTATTTATCCTAGAGGGAATGGGGAACCTCTGAAGATTGTTGAGAAGGGACATTCCCAGCCCTGACGTTCCCTGTTCTAAGGCCCCTCCCAGCCCTGATATTCCCTGTTCTAATGCCCCTCCCAGCTCTGACATTCCCTGTTCTAATGCCCCTCCCAACCCTGACATTCCCTGTTCTAAGACCCTCCCAGCTCTGACATTCCCTGTTCTAAGACCCTCCCAGCTCTGACATTTCCTGTTCAGAAGACTTTCTCGGCTCTCGTATTTTGTGTTCTAAGCCCCCTCGCAGTGTTGGCATTCTATGTGTCTTGAGGCAGCCGGGCCAGGTAACCACTGTAATCAGGTACAATTTCACTAACATAGCAGCAGCTATAAATAGGAATGAGGGTCACTGTTGGGCTAGCTGCCAAGTTTTGCTTGGATGTCTGTTTTTCTTTTTTCTTTTTTAAAATAATTTTTGTGGTTATTCCAAATCCAGCAAACATTAATAAACATGAGCATTTCCATAGACAAAGGAGTACAGAAGAAAGAAGATAATGCCTAAAATGCAGCCACGTCTCCTCTCTATACAGTTTGCATTTCGTTTCACTGTTATATAACAAAACACATTACATATAAAAAGTTATATAATAAAATAAGAAATCAGAAATCCAACATACCAGTCTCAAAGCTGCCCTGCTGCTCTGTGTCTCCTTTCTGCCTCTACTGTCCTTTTTTCTTCTCCTGCTGCACTGATCCTCCCTGTTATTAGTGTCCTTCGCTCTCCTTTCCAAATTCCTACCTCCCAACTTAAAAAGCCAAGGCACATAAGTGCAATCGTCCACACCTTGACAATGTTCTAATGGGTCTGTCTCAGTCTGCCCCTTGAGACTCTCACCTCTTTGTCAGAAGGTAGATGATGCTTTCTCCCCAGACCTCTGGAATCTTGGTGGGGGAGGCGGGGTGGCCACTTCGTTGGTCAGAGTTCCGAAGTTTTTCCAAATTATCTTTCTAGATCATGTTGTCGTCCTTGAACAAATCCTCCCTTGCTTCTACTCGCTTCGGATAAGTTCATAGAAGTCTTCATCAGCTTCCTCGAACTTGGCATGTTAAAAGGCCGTTTGGGGAAAGTCTGGGCCTGAGGCATCGACAGTGGAAGATGCCACCACCTTGATCTAGCTCCACCAAGGAACAGGGGGCTCGGGACACTTTCGTGGTTGCCTGGTGTAGCGCCACGTCCTGTGCTGGGGGTTAGGAGACTGGAGTACTCATTCTAGTTCTTCCCAGCTCCCTCTGTGACCTAAAGAAAGTTATCGCCACATGCCGCCCTCCCACCCCGAGCCTTAATTTTGTTATTGCTCAGTTGTTTCAGTCGTGTCTGACTCTTTGTGACCCCATTTGGGGTTTTCTTGGCAGAGATACTGGAGCGGGTTGCCGTTTCCTTCTCCAGCCCATTTTACAGATGGGGAAACGGAGGCAAACAGAGTTAAGTGACTTGCCCAGGGTCATCCAGCTAGGAAGTGTCTGAGGCTGGATTTGAACCCAGGAAGACGAGTCCTCCTGACTCTAGGCCTGTCACTTTATCTTCAGTTGAGTTACTCATCTGTAAAAGGAGAAGATTAGATTAGGGGAACCACAAGGTCCCTTCCAGCTAGCAATGGAACGCCCAGTCAAAGGGCCTGTTCCCCACATCCCAGTTATCTCCCAGCTTGAGGATCTACCTTTGGATCTCATCTAGAGCTTGGCATCTGGATTAGAGATCTAGAGCAGCTCAGGAAGGATGGAAGGAAAGACTTACAAACATGGGTCCATACTAAACACTTTATAAATGTTATCTCATTTCATCCTCACAACAACCCTGGGAGGGAGGTGCTATGATATTATCCCCATTTTACAGCTGAGGAAACCGAGGCAGCCAGCAGTGAAGTGACTTGCTCAGGGTAACACAGCTTCAACCTCAGAGTTTATCCTAAGAAACACACATCAATAGGTTGTGTCCAGTCATGTTTTTATTTTTCTCAAGCTGTTGACATGTATGCATTGCATGGGGGCTGCAGTCCAGGACTGGGCTTAATTTAGGAATTGGGGTACAGAATCATATGTCCTCCGTAGAGTAGGTGTTCCCAAGGGGTGCCGGTCCACTCTGGTTAACACGCTGGGAGGTGGGCTATATTAAAGTGAGGGTCTTGGAGTATGTGCCTTAGATCACCTAAAACTTGGTCAAAGAGACGTCAATTTCCACATCACTTGTCTTGACAACAGGGAGAATCAATATCTTCCCAGACCTGTCCGAGCTACACGACAAGCAGGAGGAATACACCCATTAGCCCAGGAAAAGGAAAATGCGGAGAAAGGGGTTGGGGGGAGGCTCTGAGTCTCCAAGGTAATGACTACTAAGAAAAATCATTTCTCACAACAGCTAGTAAGAGGTCATATTTGAACTCTTACACGTCGTCTAATCCAGCGTCTTTGTTTTATAGAGGAGAAAACTGAGTCTCAGAGAGAGGAAAGGACTCACCTACAATCACACAGGGTGTTAAGTCCCGAAGTGCCTTTATCTGAAACTCTTATGAGCTTCTCGCCTCTTTTAAATCTTCACAGTAGGAGGAAACCGCAAAAATTGGCAACGGATCCCCAAACACCTCAAGCCCAATCACTGGAGACGGCCTTTGGAGTTTTTAACAACAGAGACCTAGTCGCAGCAGAGGGGAGAGAATACAGGGAAAGGGCCAGAGACCGAGAACACACTCAATTCTCCACTGCTGTTATGGTCGGGAAAAGACCTGAAGGTGCTCCCGGTGACTCGGGCAGTGGGGAAACCTGCTTTTGATGTCGCAAGGAGGGCCGCTGGTCCGAGGAGTACCCCTCCAGGGCGCTCTGCCCGGAGGAAGCTCCCCAGACCAACACCTCTGGGACAGTGTCCAAAATGTGGCCAGGAGGGACATTGGAGGAAGGATTGTCCCGAGGCTGGAAGCGTGGTGGAGTCACTCCCCAGCACCCTGTCCTCCGGTCTTCTCAAGACTTGGAATATCCTGAGGCTTGGCAGTGCTCCCACTTTCTCCATCTCTCTAGCCGATCCCTGGGCAAAAACCAAGATCGAAGGGAAGGCTACCCACTTTACCGTTGGCTACATTCTCTCTTTTAACCAACTACTCTGGCCTTATACCTCAACCCGTTCTGTCATGGGCATCGAAGGAAAAACGACGGGACATTGAGAGACCTATTCCCCTCCCCTGCCTATTTGAGGATCTGTTGTTTGAACACTCCTTCCTTATCTTCTCCTCTTGCCCCACCCCCTCATTGGTAAGGGACCTGATGGGGAAAGTGGGGACCCAATTTTCTCTAGTTAAGCCTCCCATCTCCCTTTTCCCTCTGTGCACCAGACCGCCCTACATTCCCCAGGAAGTGTGGGAGACAATTGAGCCAATTGTTTGGGACCAGGGAATTCCTGGGATGGTTACTCATGCCACCCCAGCCATACCCTAATGCGTTCCGCCATTGATGAGACTATACAATTAAGCTCAAGGCCTGGGAGGGACTGCAACCATTGATTAAAAAATTCCCTAAGTATAAAATCCTTGTCCCTTGCCAATCTCTAATAACACCCCTATCTTTCCTGTAAAAAAGCCTAAATGGCTTTGAGAGGGAATTTAAAGGACCTGTAACTAGCAGATAGTAGCTACATTCTTACTTGCAGCCCCATCTTTGGCTGCTGCCACAGGAGCTCTTAATTTCCTGGGCTCTCAAGGCCATAGGGTCTCTTTGACCAAAGTCCAGGTAGCATGCCAGTCTGTAAAGTGTCTGGGCCACAAACTAACACCCAC